TGAGATGATGATGGATAAGCAAGTAAATGACATGCCCATCATTTGCAGTTTCAATTTCTCTGACAGCCTGTTGTTCAATTCCAACCGTCATTTTGCCTATTTTAAATCTTTCTCTTAGCTCTGCATGTGAAAGTTATGAAACAGTAAATGGCTCTGCAGTTGCTCTCTCGACTTCACCTTTATTCTCCGTGCGAAGACTCACAAAGGTGTTTTGTATCCCTTCCATAAGGCACTTCAAATATGGTTTTTAAAAAAGCCTTCATTACCTTTTATTGTATCTGTCATGTTGGAATCTGATTCCAAGGGGGAGATCGAGCAGCTGACAGGGAGTGGGAGTGTGGCTCTGGTGGCCGTGGAAGAAACTGGGGAAGGACACAGTCTGGCTGGGCATTCAGGGGAAGAGCCAGAGCCACCCCCTCTTCATCCTAGGGCACGCAGGGAGGGAGCAACATGAGTTATGGGGGTTACAGGGGAGAAAAGGGCCCTGATTCCCTTCATTAGCTGCAGCTGGGAAAACAGGATAAAGAGGGTGTTTGTACACAGCACCTTGCTGGAAGCAAAGCGTGAATTATTTTTGTTTGTCAAGTCTTATTGTCAAGTTCTGGCGTCTCCTCCAACTGTGTGTTTCGTGATCTTTTGAAGTCTGCAATTCCTTATCCTGCCCTGTCTCGTTAATTGCTGCAGCATGGTTTGTGTTGGTTTTTATTTATAATTTATATGTACTTTGGGTTCGGACTGAATTTCTTCAGTTTATAACTGTCTTGGGAGAGTTTTTTGTCCAGCTGATGATAACTGGACATTGGGTTACACTGCTTGACTCCCCCCGCCCCCCGGACTCACATATACCCAGAATGGAAGAATGAATGGGGAAGTTGACTGATTTGATTAAAGAAAACTTTGTCTACATTTCCTTCTACTTGGAATCTACTCTTATTTTTGCTTGTAATTGAAATAAATGAAATTTAAACCTTAGTTTTTTATGGTTAAAAATTCTTTTTGTCCAAGTGTGATTGGACACAAAAGGAATTTGTCTTGGTGCATGTTTATAATGATAAACATAGTTTGTGACTGTTTGTTTATTCTAATTCAGTTATTGATACTTAGGACTTTACCTTTTTCTCTATAGCTTTTTCCCCTTTTTGTCTGCACTCTCCAATTTTCCCTCCCTACTCCTAACCTTTTCCCCCAGTTCTTTCTCCTTTGTTTTCTTGTACTTTATGTTTTTCTAAAATCTAACAAAGCTTACAACCTTTTATATGACTTCCAGGCATTGATCCACTATGAAAAACTGTTCCACCATCAGGGCAAAACTGGAGCTTTTCCCATGTGGTTTTTCTGATGTCTCCCTTTGGAGCAAAACTTTATTGTACTCTATGCATCTCTATAGCTTTATTCCTCTAGGGACCTTTTGATGATTTCTAAAGGTTTTTATTTCGGCAAAACTTTTCCCACACTCCCCACATTCATAGGGCCTCTTTCCTGGGTGCCCCTTCTGGTGTCTCCACAGTTCAGCAAACTCCACAAATCTTTTCTCACATTCTGGACATGGATAAGGTCTGACTCCGGTGTGAAGTCTCTGGTGTCCCATTAGGTGTGACTTTTCAACAAAACATCTCCACATTCCTTGTAGTCTCCACCTTCCTCTTCTAAGAGCTCTCAACTTATCATCTATGGGTAGTCCTCTATTTATGACCACCATTGAGCTCAAAATTTCCAGTGTTAAGTGAAACACCTGTTAAGTGAATTTTCCCCATTTTACGACCTTTCTTGCCACAGTTGTTAAGTGAATCACTGCGGTTGTTGAGATAGTCACATGGCTGTTAAGTGAATCTGGCTCCCCTCTTTGCTTGTCAAAAAGGCGCAAAAGGGGATCAGGTGGCCCTGGAACACTGCAACCGTCACAAATGTGAATCAGTGGTCAAGCAGCTGAATTTGGATCACGTGACCTTGGGGATGCTGAGACATGGTCATCAGTCACTACTTTCAGTGCCAGTGTAACTTCAAACGGTCACTAAATGAACCGTTGCTTGAGTCCACTAGCTGCATTGACAAACTGATGGGGAAAAGCGGTTCAAAGAAATGAGACAAAAAGGGAAAGACATCAGGATATGACACTTTATCCATTTACTGCGGTCTCCTCTTTCTTTTCCATAAAATGCTTCTTGTGCTGAAACCCACGAAGTCATTTTTGGGCATTGCCTATTTTTTCTATTGTCGAAGGTAAACCATAAAAAAGCCATACCCTTCCCATTTAAAAACCCTCTTTTAGCTATTGGTTTTAAAACCAGCTAATGCACTAAAAATCTGTTAATGTTTCCATTAATATTTCGATCTCTTCCAAAAGGCCTTTTAAAATCATCACAAAATTATCAGCAAAGGGCTTTTGTTGGGCTCTAGGAAAGTTGTTGCTGACTGGTGGGCCATGAGAAAATTTTGGTGGGCCACAGCATGCTGAGGTGGAGAGGTGGGGCAATCCTGCAAACTCCCTAGCAAACCTGTGTCGTGGCTACTGATACCTGCCTCAGCGCATCGATGGGGCCGAGCAACAGCGGGAAGATTGTGGACCTCCTGCGCTGCAGGAAGCAGCTGCCCTGAGGTGAAGATGTTGTGAGCGGGAGGCTTGACCTCCTCTTCCTCCTCACCAGAAGGGCTCACATGCTCAGTGGGAAGGAGGTGGCTTGTTAGGCGTCAGTGGGGCGGTGAGCTCTTTGCGTGTGAGTGCTTCTGGCAAGGAAGAAGAGAAACTCCTGAAGCGGTGGGTTGAGTCTCCCCCTTGCAACATCTTCCCATTGAGGGCATCGCTGGCAGCTGCTCAACCTCCTCGAGGCACGGAGGCAAGAGGTAACACCAGAGGTTCCTTTCTCCCTACCCCCACCCAGGCCAGGCCTAGGCCGCGATCTCCCGCGTGTATGAGTCCATCCACCACCAGTATCACCCGTTGCCCCAACTTCCCAACAGCCATCTTGTTTTCAGCACGTGGCTCGTCAGACTCCAGAGTGGAGGTTGCCCGCTGTGCTGAACTGTGCCCGCCCGCGCCCCCTGCTCTTCCCGACCCCTCGTGGCTTGGACACTGGATTTGTGCCTGGTCTGTCTTAACTGGGACTGGGATGACTTCGCCTCACCCGCAGGACCGCCAAATAGTAGCTGCCAGCTCCTTTCTCCAGATGCCATGTCTTACAACAGGAAAGAGCAGCTGGGGTATCAGTGTAGCTGCTCGATTAGTTCATAATCGCCCCACCCAGAGAAGGAGGAGGAGGAGGAGGAGGCAGTAGTGGAGAAGGAAGGCAGGTGTTAAAAACCCGGGGTGGGGGGGAGGCTTCAAGGTGGGTGGAGGCTTCCAGCCTGGCCCTCCTTCCCTACCCCAACTCCAGGCAGCCACACCTGGTAAAGGAGGGAGAGGTTTCCTCTGACTTGAGGGAGATATGAAATGACAGGAGACCAGATTGAGGGGGAGGCTCTGCTTTTTTGTTATATTTTTTCTTATAATTAAATAAGCATTTTTATATTTAAAAATATATATTTATATATATTTATGTTGTGGCT